CAGAGGGGGGGGGGGGGGTGGGTGGTATCTTATGCAACCACGGTAGAGTTGGTTGCTTAAAAAAGAGCCGGTAGTCCGCAGTCAAGGCCAAAGCAGGCGAGCCGGGCTCGAAGTACCGCGGTGTGTACTTTACACTCTTCTGAAGCCTGCCGCTGCGTACGACTCTGTGCTCAGCAGCAGCAGGCAGGTACATCTCACGGCGGCGCACCTGTGTCCCTCGCGTCTCGAACTTGGCTACCTCGTCCTGCGGGATGTAGCCCTTCTTTATTCGCCGTTCCTTGCGCCAGGTACCATCTGGACGCTGCGTGGCGGGGAGCACCACATCCCCGTTCTCTTTAGCAACCGCCCCGATAGGCACAGCACTGGCCATTATGTTTTAGAGGTAGTTGGAGGAGACACGCAGCGACAACGAACAACCAACAGTCAAATTCAAGTGGATTGATGTTGCCCCCCCTGTCCAGAAAAAAACGCGCCCCCCCCCATTTTTGTCCTTTGTGCGCCCCCTCTCATGTACTCCTCCGTGCTGGCTCGCGCAGCCGGGATTCAACAGCAGTTAGCAGTGCGAAAGATAGATCATGAGGCCCACGGGAAGAGCCCTCGCCGCCGTGGCCACGGCGGTAGTAGCAGCAAAGGGAGCTCAGGCCTTCGTGGCGCCAAGTGGCCCCTCCTGTCCTTCTTCCTTGCGAGCAGGAGCGACCTCTCGACAGCAACAGCAACAACCGTACACGTGCTCGGCTACCAACAACCGACGGTCTCGACGAGCCCCTCCGCCGCCGTTAGCAGCGGCGGAGGCGGAGGCGGCGGCAGGCAGAGGGGCGGAAGAGGATGACCATTGTCCTCCTGCCGATGCCGCTAGGGAGGGGAAGGGGCGATGGGCAAGGGCCCGCAGGTCTCTCGCGCGCGGGGCAGCCTCCCTGGCGACCTTCACAGTGGGGGCGACCGCCCTGTCGGGGATGTCTGCCGACGTGCAGCACAGGCTCAACAGCCGCGATGGCGCTGCGGTGGTGGTGTCAATCCCGGCCGCTATGGAGTCAGCGGAAGCCTCTGTGCTCAGGCCGTTCGAGAAGCGCACCGTGGAGGAGAAGCTGGCAAACCTCCCGGCCTTCATGGTGACCAACAAGAAGGGCTCGCCCTACCTTTCGCCCACAAAACCGGGCGAACCCCAGGTATGTTCAAGCTACAAGCAGGACCGGAGCGAGAGGTCCGCATGCATCATGTTTAGAGTTTGGAGCGGAGGACGAGTTGATGATTGTAATTGGCATTCATCTGGCCGATGTTGTTTGGGCGTCTAGTGCTGCTGCGCCGCTCGCAAATCTCTCTGTTGATCTCATCCCCTATTATATGTACTCCCACAACAGCACACGTCCAACACACAGAGATAAGACGGTGGCAGCACTTGCACTGCCTACTGCTGTGTACCAGCAGCAGTTGCACTCGACGAAGCACGCATCGCGCAGAGTTCTCGGCGAACACCTGTTGCTGTTTGAATGATGTCGTGTTAAGAGATTTACAGCGACTGCCAGCGCTGAATGTGCAGTGACACAGAGCTGGATCTATCTGTGCAGAGCTGGAATTATCTGTGCGCCTTCAAAGGGTGCCCCGACACAGCCATGGGCCGTTCAGCTTGATACCCGTTCATGATCCGTTTGCCCTCCTTAATATGCTGTTGCGATGTGCTCCCACAGGTAGCACCGGTGAAACGGCTATTTGGCAGCAGCAGTACTATTTGAGCCGATTCGTGCTGGCATCGTGCCCTCCGGTGTTTACTTACAGTAGTCAAGTACAAATATGCGGCTGACCCGGTCCTCCGACGGTCGACTCCATCGCAGAAAAGCATCCGCCATGTTGCAGTTTGAGAGCTTGGCGTGAACGTCGACAAGCCAATAGCACACTTTTGAACTTATTTCGGAGACACGCGCGCTACAGGATTACCTTTTTAAAGCCTACAATATGGTCGCTGTTTGGCAGACCGCATAGCAAACCAAGATGCCGAACCGGAAACGCACTTCCTCTTTGTCGAATCACACTTTCCAGCAATTGAATTTGACGATGTTGTCCTATACTAGTCGACATATCTGGTTGTCAACTACCATGGTGGTAGCATTGCATTTCCTCAAGGCTCGAGATTCTACCACCCGGCCTCTACAGTAGTATTTGGCGCGTGACCATTTTTGGATTGAATTTCTTCGACCTCGGTGGATGGTGCTGAGTCCTTTGGTTGTTGTCTTGACGTTAAAAGCGTTCCGTTCTCTCTGCCCAGTACCTTCTTCTATCCGTGCTACTGTAGTCTGAAAACGATTCCCGTGGTCACAGGCTAACTTACCCTTAAAACGTGTACGAACATAAAATTCGCTCGAAGGGGTGCGCAAGCCAAAAGAAGTCGATGACAGATAGTCTAGGCCACTCCTTTTGTGGTCCTGTCCAACACTATTTTCTGTATCACCGCCAACGAAGGGGTGCCAGTTTAGGAATCGGTAGCCAAGAACACTGCACAACCAGGGCACAGGAAGACCATCGAAGTCTTCCCGGCGCCTGCCTCCCCAACACCTTGATGAAGCTTCCTGTTCATCGCTCCTTGCTCACGACACCCCAGGCAATGATTTGTGGTTGCTTTACGACAACGCTAACAACGACCTGACTCATATCAAAGCAACCATTGTGTTCTTGCTGGAGCAGCTGGAAGAGTGACGTGGATACTGACTGCTCCGATCTTTACAGCAGGATTGGAGGAGCGTGATCTTGGTCGATCAAGGATGAAGACAAATGTTGCCGTCGGCACATATTGCTTTTCATCCGATTGCTAGTAGTCGTTCAATTGACTGCATCTGTCGGTTGCACGCATTTTTCGGGAAGCATTTAACGATCATCTTTTCGCCTTTTCCCCGAACACTCCCTCGTGTTTTTCCTCTCTTAGATGGCTGTTTTCTTTACCAACGTCGACGATGCGAAGGAGATGCTCATGGAGATGGTGCAGGAGTCGACCTACCAGAATGAAGCACGCATTCTTGTTGTGAGCATGGAGAAGGCTTACGGCATGGTGAAGGCGGGGCCGAAGCTGACCGGGTGAGTTACCGGCGCGATGCTACTGCTGCTGCTGCTGCTGTTGTTGTTGTTGTTGTTGTTGTTGTTGTTGTTTGCGTCGGGTTTTGGTGCGGCTTCTTCTGCTGTTGTTTCCCACGCGCTCAAGTCCAGTCTGGTGGTGGTGTGTTTTTTCGCCGCTGGCTCTCACGGGGGGTGCAAGCATCGATAGATGTGGAGAGATAACTTTCGGGGCTATCCGAGATTGTGCCGTTTGTTGTTGGAAATCTTGTGCGCCGAAGAATGAACCTTGAATTTGTGTTCGCAGGGAGGTAGGTACCAAGTCTATGGTACGTTGTGGTAGTTGTCGTTCCCAGCAGACAAAAAGGTTGGGAGAGCGAGTTAAGTCGCATTTCTGTGCCGTCACTTTGATCCCTAGGAACAACCTAGCCCTCTTATCCTATATCAGGACTTCTTTCCCGTTTTCGACGGCGTGGATCAGCCATGTATGTTGGGTACGGGACCCCCTGGTGCAAATCTCCGCTTCCAAAGCACCGACAGCGGCCCCCATTTAGTGCGGCTAGTTTTTTGTAGTAGTGCTGCATGCACCCAGGAGACGAGAGCTAGGAGTTCCAAGCAACACTCAAGCTTCGCACGAACGGGGTGCCGTTTTTACTCACGTTATCCCGCGAAAAGGCAGCCTCCCGTTCGACGACTCTCCCCCATCTTGCCATCTACCGCCGGCACGGCCAAATTCTTCGAAATCATGCACCAAAATTGTATCCATCCGGGCGAGCTCCCTCGTCGTGTGCGGCTCCCGAAATTCAATGCACCGAGTTAGCAGCGCGTTCCCGCTCTCCGTTCCTGTGGCGAGCAGTTCCACGATTGTGTCTGGCAACTCGACGAGTATCTTCGCGTTGCCTGTCTGAAGCTTTCGATTTTTTCAGCGGGTAACAATCAAGGTAGACACCAAGAAGACGCCCGATGAGCAAACAGGAACCGGGGGACCCAAAAGAACAGAGCATAAAAAAGAAAAGAAAGAAGCGAGAACAACAGCCACAAGTGAGCCAGACGCAACAGGCTTCAGGCTTCAGGGTGGAGGAGAAGGAGAGTATAGAAAACCACCGTCGCCGCTCGCTTTGGACCGACCGCTGGAAGCTCTCACATAGCACAGCGTGTGCAGCAAACATTGGGTAGGGCCCAAGTCCATTGCTTGACATAAAGAGGCAGCGCTCATCGCTTCACATGCAGCAGTTGTTGGGACCCCACAGGCTAAGGGCGAGAGAGAGAGAGAGAGAGAGAGAGAGAGAGAGAGAGAGAGAGAGAGA